GTGGGGCGCCCGCGAACATTCGCAGTCCCCTCCAGCAGCAACAGCAGCCGCCCTCCACCCTGATGCTGGTCCCATCTGGCGTCGGAGGAGTCCCGCGTTTGTGAACGACTGTGAGCGAGCGAGAAAGCCTGAAGATGGCGGACCTGGAGGCCGTGCTGGCCGACGTCAGCTACTTGATGGCGATGGAGAAGAGCAAGTCGACCCCTGCCGCCAGAGCCAGCAAGAAGATCATCCTGCCAGAGCCCAGGTACGAGCATGAGCACGTCAGTGCACGTGGCCTGTGTGGCAAGGTCATTTGCATATTCATTGTTTTGGTGCCATCCTTGCTTTATCGATGAAGGCGCATACACTAAATAAGAGGGAGCATGCACACACCTTCACACTCGTATTGATACCGTCACACACCTCACAGAAACGCATCAACACAGTGGGATGCAGGCATCTACATGTGCACACATTCACACACAAATTAAGACAAACGCACACAGGCCCGAGGGAAATCTGGTGATTTCCCGGTGGTTTTCGGCCGCCTGTGCAAAATAACACTTTGAAGACGCGGAACACAGCCACAACTGTTATATATAACGGTGACAAAGCACACATCGAAAGACTCCTCGCGATCGTAAAGTTAGCGTCAGTCCAATAAGTTGTGCACCTGAAGTGGCGTGAACAGGTTTCAAATAAGAGTGCAGTCAGAAAAAAAAAAAAAAATACGTACCATGTGGATGGGCCTGAGCGACATGAGGCAATCGCTGCGGTACGAGTTGCTCCAGGTGTCCCAGCGAGGATACTCTCCCTTTTCCAGGATGAACATCTCCCCACGGAGGTTGGTCTGCTCGAAGGCAACAAAGCTGGAAGAAGGGGGTAGGAGTGGGGGTGCCACGAGCGGGGCCGGTGGGTGGGGAGGTCAAGAAGGAAGGCCAAGGAAAACGAATGAGTGGCGAGGAAAAACAAAGCGCAACATCAATCGACGTGTGTATCTTACGGGCCGTTTTCCACGATGATGCTGCGCACTCTCTCCAGGCCTCGGTCGGAAACGTTCAGGCACTCGCTCTGAAGCTCCAACGAGCGGCCCTGGAAGTTCTCCTGGTCGAACAGTGTCAACTGCAACACAAAATGCGCGAGGGTTACTGTAATAATAGAACACGAAAATACTTGCAATGTCTTAATGTTATAATTTATTACATATAGTGAGAATCATGGAAGTTGACATTCTTGATTTGCTTTTGGTGGGGCACATAAAATGATGCGGCGGGTGAGATCGGGCCCCTGGGCCACCAGTTGGACACCTGTGTTCATGGGAACTTGGTAACTCGATGAGCAGAAAAACAACACAATTTCCCATTTTTTCTCATGCTGACTGACTGGCTCATAGCAAAGTGCGAAGAGAAAATGGCGTCATGTGCATGCCAGGCCACTAGTTGGCGTTGTGGCACCCCAAGGATGCTTTCCAATAGACCCCATCGACGTCACAAATGTTAATTTGAAAAATGGCGTCATATCTACTTCTGCGGTGGTATCCCTAATTGCTCTGTGGTTACCGTGATGTCTTGAAGGCATCAAAGTGATGTAACCAAACTCACTTTGAAGGTGCCCAGGCTGGGCTCACCGGTCTTGGTGGCCTTGCTGGAGGCGGCGGGCGGGCCTCCCTTGTTGTCCTTGGCGTCGGCTCCCTGGCTGGAGGCGGACTTGGCGGTCTGAGACATGGCGAGGAGGGAGCTGGGCGGGGTGGGGGCGGGGTGAAAGGAGGAACAGGAATGGGTGACAATCATTAAAATTGGCAAACACCAAAGATACCAGGGATAGGCTTCCGCATACCTGCGACCCTCGTGAGGACAAGCGGTTCGGATAAAGGATGGATTTATTTTCAAGACGTGAATTAACAGGGATTTATGAAAATGTACTCGGATTACGGCGTAGATATTCCCTGCAAAAAAAAAAAAAAAAAAAAATCAGTAAAAATGACACCAATTGTAATTTGTCATCAATAAAAAATGTTTCAAATGTGCAGGGTTTTTTTTTTTGTCAATAACAGGGTAGGTTCTCCAAAAGAATTGCAGCTCATTATGATTTTCCATGAGGGCGAAAAAAAGTGAGGGATCAGCAATAATAATTCAGTGAATAGTTGATGCTTATACATGGCACAAATTTGTTTTCCTGAAATATTTGAGCAAATATTCAAATAAGCAGGAGATCAGGAAAACAAAACCTGAATAGCAGGGCATAAATTTCCTCCCTAAACTCTCCAAATAGTTGACAGTAATTATAATGTGGCATGAAGAAAAAAAAATCATATTTAAAAATCCACAAATAGTTTTGTGGCTCATTAAAATTGGCATGAATTTATTCAAATAATGAGTGGGGGATCCACATGTATCATGAGGGATACAAATGGAAAAAATCTGTGAATAATGAACACATTATAATTGCAATCAAAGTTTCTTTTTTCAAAAATTTTAGGATGCAAAAACTGTACAAATGATATATAATAAGCGGGACACTGACATAAAAATACTGTTGATCAGTGTGTGTGTGTGTGGGGAGGGGGGTGAAGGTGCGCCCCTAAGGAATTTGTAAATAATATTTGATGCTCACTTTAATTGGACTGGGGGACAATGTGTTTGATTGAAACAAAAAATGAAAATACATCGGGGATTGAGAGAAAATAAATGCTAATAGATTTTGCATTGACTTTTGGGGGAGGGGCTTAAATGGAATCCTCTCAACGCAGCACATTTTCACATAATACCGGCGGGCCTGGAAAATACCCCCAACACCCCGCGATTAACGGGGACTCACACCGATGAAGACTTTTTGTGATTTTTTTTTTTTTTTTCTTGACAGTGAGATTTTGCCAACGTCCAGTCGGAGCCGGGCTCGGTTTTGGTGCGCGGGTGCGTCGTCTTACCTGTGTGTGGCGTCGAAGCGGGCTCGCCAGCGTCGGTCACGTTGGGTGCCGTCGCGCTGCTTTTATAGGCTGGGGAAAGGCGAGCGGCGCCGCAA